TACTACTACTACTACTACTACTACTACTACTACTACTACTACTACTACTACTACTACTACTACTACTACTACTACTACTACCGCCACTACTACCACTACTACCACTACTACTGCTACTACCACCACTACTGCTACTACCACTACTACCATTACTACCAGTGCTACTATGCAGTACTACCTACCTACCTACCTACCTACTTCCCATTAACTACTAATAACAACAACTACGACTAGTACTAGCACTATCACTAGCACAAACACTACCACCACTGGTAAAAGTATGTAAAAGTACTTGTTGGCTGGTTGGTTTCGGGTGGTCTAACAACAACGACGGGGCTGCAGTTTTTGCTTCACTCCCTCGTAGAGACAAAGGAAGAAGATATGTTGTAACGGGCCTGCAGTTTTTGTTTGTACGTTGTTGCTGTTCTTCTTCTTTTTCTTATTCTTGTTGTTGTTGCTGTTGTGGTGGTGGCAGTGGCTGGTTGTTGTCATTTTTTTTTTGTTGTTGTTGTGGTGGTGGTGGTGGTGGTGGTGGTTGTTATGGCTGTTGCTTTGACCAGAAAACCAGAAACAGAACATGCCAGGAACGCAAGGCAACTTGGGCGGCATAACCCGCACCGTGGGGCCCTTAAGCCATCATGAAGGAAGGGTGTACCCTACAAGCATCAAAAAATGAAACATGATGCTTTGCTACTCACACAGTGATTTTTCAATGTTTTTGCATGTGCGTTTGCGCGCAAGAGCAGAAAACTCTGAGCCCTCCTCCCCGCTGGCCTTGGGAGATCACCGGAGGCTAGTCGGACAGCCGCCTGACGGCGGCGGGATCCTGCAACGCCCAGGAGGGGTCGGGGGCTGGTCGCGACGCCACCAGCCTGATCCATGCGAGTACGAATAGACCACTGCACTTCAAAATTACTCGACTATAGATCAGCTCATGCTGAAGAATTGTCAATTGAGCAGATGCAAAGCCCAGTCCAGTGAACCTTTGGTCGCGGCGCTTTGAACCTTATGACTATGTGGCTCGCGGGTCCCATGAGCACTCCACAAACAATGCGATATAGGTACACTTTCCAGGAAGCCACCAAAGTTGTCGCATGGACCGCACGCGCGTGCGCGCGTGTGAGCATTTGCTCTTCCTGGCAGCACGCCCGAGACCGCACCACAACATGGCCCCATGCCTGAATCCAAAGGCAAAAAAGTCTTGACGGCCAGTGACGAATCTAGAATTCTAACATGTGCCAAAATTTTGGCAGATGTTTGGCAATGTGACGGCCGACCGCTCAACGGAGTCCCTCTCAAGAACGCCGGCCCCGCTCCGCTCACGCTCACGATCGTCGTCCTAGACTGGGGTCGGTGATTTTGCTTCATAATGTTCCATGATTTGTATTAGTCCGTGCGTATGATGAAGTTTTTTCAGCGGGTTAAAGTCGCTCTGAAACTCTTGCAATCAGCTTCATGGACCCCTCGAGTGTACTGGCGGCTGTGGTGCTTTGCTGGTGCCCAGTGCACGTACTTTTGACCAATGAGGACTGGTCGTCCTTGCAAGGATGGATGAGTTCCCTGATGCAGGTCCGATGAAAAAACAATCTGGGCTTCAAACAGGGATTTTGAACCGCCCTTGCTTTTGGTGAATTCAAGATAACTCAAGCATAGCCAAAGCACTCCAAAGTGGAAACATATAATTTTGAGTGGTGTGGTTTTGTTGAAAGGTACGTCTGAAATGGTTCGCCCGATGACTCTTTGAGTGCCGTTTCTCATCCGCTTTCCACCGCTGAGAGGCCAAGACACCAGTGGATGTTTTGAAAGACGGCCGTGTTGAAGAAGAGATGATGAAGCTTCGCCAAAGGCCTGTTGAAACTGTGTTGAGACCCCCGATTTTGGATGTGCCAGAAAGGTCGACCAATCCGGTTGCTTAGGCAGTGCAAAGTGTGACTGGAAAAAACCACCCACTGAGAAGAACAATCATTTTACATTTTTGATGGGGAGGCTGGGGAGGGAACTATTTCGATCACTACCCTGACAGGAACTACCAGTTGTTCAGCCGTTGTTTGTCTCACCTCGCTTTGGTTCTAGCCATTGGGTGGATGCACAAAGCCTTCAAAACGGGTGGATTGGAGTCCACGACGTGCGCTGTGAGTTTCATAGCAGGCTATATCCAGCACTTAGTGATCAGAACTAAGTTGGTGGATTGCACTCCCTGGAAATTGCAGTCCTTGAGGTACTTGATGCATACCCTCACATTGCTGATCCTTCTTGTCACAGCGTCACAAAACGCATCGAGTTTTACATTGCAACAAGGCTTTGTCACCGCGTGTCGCTTCTTATTGGTCTTGGCGTTTTTGGACCCACGAACTTCAATTCCTTTTCAAGTGCTGTATACCACGGCCCAAGTCTTTGTCTACCTTATTTGTGTTGAAGAGCAGGGCTTGGAGTTGGAACTTTTGTGTTTTACCCAGCTTTTTGTGTTTGTTGTCGCCACAGCTTCCTCTTTGTTCATCGACATGGCACTTCGCGGACGTATTTATGCGCAGTTGGATTCCGCCGATGCGGAGTCTTTGGTATCCGGCTTCCGGAGGGTCTTGAGAGGTGCTTGTGATGGCGAAGTGCTCTTGGACAACCACATGAATGTCGCACAAGAGAGCGAATGCTTAAAGCATTTGATTCTCACCGATGTGAGTTTGAAAGGCAGGTCCTTTCAACATTTACTTGTTGAAGATGAACAGGCTCGCTTTGGCGAGTTCATTGAGGCCTCCACTCAGGCCTTTGGCAGGCCAGACTCCAAAGATTCTGCATGCCCCTCCTCCTTGAGGATCTCTTTGCGTACATCTGCTGGCATTCGTGTTGGTGCAGATATTTGCCATGTGCCTGTTCCAGGTGGGGTTCGGGTTCGGAACCTGGATCGGGTTTGATCCGGGATTTATACTAAAATATACTGAAACCCAAGTCCGATTCCAAGTCCTGCTAGAACCCCAACGAGTGGTTGACGTCCACCTGGTCCAGGTCTCTTTGGTGCTGAAGAGCCTTACCACATCATCGCTTTCAAAGAAGATCCCGAATCACGTCCTCATCCCGATGCTGAAGAAGATGCAGTGCCGGCAGTCCTGTTGAACAATGCTGCGAGGCAGAATCAGGTGAAAGTGGTAACCCAAGACTCAAAGTCCATGCTATCTGCAAGTAGTGGACACAGTTCTTGTTTCGATGCTTGTGTGGAGTTGCAACAGATGACTTTGCTCGTGGATGTCGATACAGAGCTTCATGATGTGCAGAAAGCACACCTGAACTTTGCACGTCCCGATGAGCAGGCTGAGCAAACGGCAGATCCACCGTCAGCTTTGCAATCGAACATGCCCTGCTTGCGGAAGCTCGTGAAGCCAACAGATTGGGAGAAAGTCCGTTCCAGTATTGCCAGATATGTCGACAATGCTTTACAAGATCGCACAATCCCCCCCCAGACCTTGAGCAAGATGACTGTAAAGCTCCCTGGTCATGGTGGATGGCTGCTGGTAGAAGAAGCAAGCATGCACCAAATTCCAGGGTCCAAGAAGATCTGGGTGCTCTTGAACGGGTTCCGACCAGAGAAAACTCGACTTGTGCCATCTTTGGTCGGAATTTCTGAACAGATTCAGCGATCGTCGGCGGCCGAGCCGGAAAACAGTGCGCAAAGAAGACCGCAGATCATGACATGTCCTTCCATTTCGATCGAGTGGTGTGCCTTTGATGAGAATCCATATACATCATCAGAGGATATCAGAGGTGACAAGGTGTTTTGATGCAAGGTGGCTGTGGCTGGGAAGACAAGTGCGGAACCACTCACGCATCCTGCCACAATGACCCTCATTCCAAACCTGCTTGATAAATAGTGCTTGTTCATACCAATGGGATTCCACGAAGTCCTTGTATTTTCTTTCCTGTTGGTTCCATCCAATTAGAATATCTATAGATACAGGTGCACTGAAAACCGCTGGTCGATGTTTAGCGCAGGCCGAGTGCCCAAGGAGGTCCCAGGCAGCTTGGCCCAGCTGCTGCAGAGCGAATCCTTGCAAAGCCTGCGCCTGCGCCTGTGTCGCAGAACCAACGACGTTTACACCGGTCGAAGGTGTGGATTGCATGTTTTGGCGAGTAAAACAAGAACCAACAAGTTGGTGCGGACGCTTCTTCAGGGAAGCTCCCACCCCCCGCCCTCAGGCAAAGAAGCGTGAGCTCTCCTGCGCCCTAGCTAGGAGTTTCCTAGTTGCTAGTCCCTCCCTTAATCTCCCTATAGCTTAGTAGGCGCCAACTTAAATCATTTTTAATAAGTAAGGACGGACTGAAGCTACTAGGGGCTCCTGGCATCGCTACGAACGGAGCAAAGGTTGTTCCTTACGATCCTAGCGATCGGACGCTACGTTCGGGGCGCTCCTGGCCTTACTACGAACGGAGCAAGGACGCTTTTTCATTGGAGTCGACTAGGAATAGAGTCGCAGAAGACAACTCCAAGAGTCGGTGAAGAGACTGGCTCCTCATGTGGGGAGCTTCAGTGGTATCCAAAGGATAGACTCCCCAAATGAATCCCAAATGGTTGTACTGTATGTTGTAAGTATGTGTTATATTGCCTTATAGTAGGTTTTACTAAAACCATCTAAAACCCCTTCTTTGCCCAAAAACACACCGAAGATCGAGGCCTGGGAGCTTGATCAGGAGGCCAGGAACGAACTTCAAAAGGCCAACCAAATCCTGATTTGTTGGGTTGTTCCATGTTGTTCCCTTCTCGCTTCTCTCATCTTCTCTCTCATTCTCTCACTTCTCGCGGTCCCAGTCTGAGCTAAGAGGCCATGCATTGTTTGGCCAGGGTTCGGTGATACTGAGGCCTGGTATCGGCCCCATGGCCGCAGATCGGGTGGCGTTCGGTCGGGTGTTCTTCTCGCCGTGCGAGTGGGGAGTCGGGTCCAGGCGAGTAGGGTATGAGGAAGTCCCTTTGCTGGCTTCTTGTTACTAGTAGTAAGAACACTCCGTTCGTAGCGATGCCAGGAGCCCCTAGTAGCGTCTTTGCTCCTAGTTGTAAGGCCAGGAGCCCCTAGTAGCTTCTTGCTATGAATTCGTTTATAGAGGGCTATATATAAACAACAGGAGGTTCCTGAACTAGGCGTACGTTTAGTAGGTTTGATCGTTTCACCGCAAAAAGGCGGACCCCAAATATATCCGTGGATGCGTAGTGGATGCGTAGGTGAAACGATTAGTTTGGGCCAATTTGTGTCAAAATTTCTCATCAGTGGCTTGAATGTGCAGCCATGCTGAGCCTTTTGCTCAGACATATTGGATGCGTCACTCAGAAATGAACAAGAGGCCGCTCCACTCCTCCCGAATGAGCAAAAGCCAAGTCCAAGAACTCTTCAAACGCTTGTTGGTTGTGGGTTGGATAAGTAGGAAAACAACTCCACACAGATCGACGATGTATATCAAGTGTCAGCAGCTTCCCTGTGGAAAATCAGATCGAGAAAGATGGTGCTTTAAGGACGCTGGTGACCAAGGACTGACCCTCAAGGAGCACACAAAAACAAACAGGATTAACGGGATACTGTACTGATAACCATCTATCAGGGTGTTGTTTTTTTGTGGTTGGGGGAGCTGTATCTATTCATAGTATAAACCATCCTGCATGTTATACGCACACAGGACAAAAGTTGGCAACACGCCTGTGAATACTACATGACCTGACCTACAACCCTATCCCCGCCTATCCCCTTACCTACAGAGGATCACAGTGGAATGCCGGCGGGTAAATTTCCGCCGTGAACTATACATTTGTAGTATTGTATTGTTGTTTGGGTGGAAATTCATCCGCTGAATTTCCGGAAAGAGAAGTCATGCCAATGGGATTCTGGAGGGAAGTTGCCAAACTTTCTTCCTCCTGAAGCAGTAAATATTCTTGTTGAGATCTGGCCTTTGGTCAAGAAAGAGCCCGACTCTCGCAAAGATGACTGAATCAGGGACGTTCAGCAGCAACTGCAGGTGGCATGCCATCCATGAATGACCGCAAACCATTAGAAGGAAGAATAGACGACACCAATGCAGCCTATTTGATAGAATGCACATCGACTGATTGTCGATCTAGACTATATACATGGATATCATTTTGTAGAATAGGAAGACCCCGAAGACCCCCCAAACCAATGCTTTTGTTTGAAACATGTTTGGCATTGTTTGGCCAACCCTGTGATGTCAGCCTCTTCGTTGAGCGATCGAGGCCTGGGATGTAAGGGAGCGGCCCTTTTGGCCGTCGGCTTGCGGCAGAACGACTTCCTTTTGGACCTGGACCTGCGCCGCAATGCTGGGCTGCCAGGGTGAACAACCAGGGGGCCCGTGACCCTGGATGCGTTCGGATGAAAATCGCAGGAAGTGATTCATTTGTTTGGAGATGTGTGATGTTCCCGTGAGTCAGTTTGCAAGATGTCTATAGAGAAGGAAGCTTGGCAGCAAGAACCCCCATGCCAGCCATGGATTTCCATGGATGGACAGAACAAACCACAGCTGGCGTGTAGCTGATGAAGATCCGCGACCACATGAACATTTGTTTGTCGTGATAATTTGATGAACCCTTCAACCGGTCATTTTATGGTTCTCATGGAAAAGGCCTGGGTTATCCTGGAAACATGTTTTAGAAGTGTTAACACATATATGTTTGTGGAACCGAAAACGGGTGACATTCCTTTTGGTGTTTGGGTCCACCCCTTGGCCAGGCCATTGGCCCCGGCACTTGAGGCCATTGGCGAGAGGGGTGCCATGTGCTTGGCCAAGGCTTTGGAGGCCGGGCCAAGAGCATGCGTAGCTGGGCGGTGTAGCCAGTGTAGTCGGTTTCTCTTTCTGTCGAATGGGATGGTAGGGTAAGGTGTGTTTTTTCCAACATTTCATAGCATTTCTATGTTCCAACATTTCTTTGCTCGCCCTGAGCGTTTAGTCCGCGGATGGACGTGGCATTTGGCTTTTGGCTTCGACGGAAATGGGCCCAAAAACGTTGTGAACGGTTGTCGCGTCGAATGAAACATCATGCAAAGGGGGTTTTGGTATCAAACATGTGTATCTTTGGGGGCTCTTCTGGCTCTGAAGATATACCTCCTCATGTCTTCTGACATTAAAGTTGATGGTTTGCCTTGTGTATTCAACTTCCACATTGAATCGTTAACGCAGTTGATGGCTGTGAAGTTTTAGAATGACAAACACCACTGCGTTCTGAGTTTGCTTGCACCAAAGGATTCGCATGGCATACTCTTCTTTCTGCCAAAACAAGCGACCAAATTGTGTTGTTCATGTCAGGCAGGAGAAAAATAGTTAAACACACACACAAACGTCCATGACTTCCTGTATGACGTCCATAGGAATTTGGCCTGGACGTTTTCGTCACCAAAGGCGTATTGAAGATTGTTATTGAATGGCCTGACCTGTTGAGAGGCTATGGTCCAGTTCCTTAGAATTTGTCCATCCCTTTCCAATTTTCCTTCATTGGGAAATCAAAATGGAACACATAACGTTCCACTTGGTTTGTGGGCCGCAGGTCAACCCGTTCGTGCTGGAGACCCTTGAGATCTCAGAGAACGACCTTGGGGAGGCCACGCGGAAAGCTGAGCACTTCAGCGAACGTAAGGCTCCCCCTGACAAATCCTGGTAGACACATGTAAACACACGAAACAGCAAAAGTGAATTATAGCGACTTTTAAACAACTATAATTAAGTTTGGTGGCCGCCGGGATGTGTCAATAGGGGTTTGCTTAGATCTGGGGCACACCTGTTTGATTTCTTTCGTGGATTGTTTTATGCGCAAACGATGCATGAAGATGTTTCCGTCGGGCTGCGCCTGTGCACGGCTGCTGCGGCCGTGGTTCAGGTGGATTCGTGCCATGTCCCTCCAGATCCCCAGAAGTGGATTACAGTCAGGGGTCACTCGGGGGGGCCCTTTTGGTCGACCGGAGTACGTACATGAAACAACGATCCTCTCACAGGTCCTGAAGAACGTTCACTCCGTTCACCTGAGATACCCTTTGGCATGGCCCAAAAGCGCCAACGAGAGGGGCTTTTGTTGAACACGTTCCGGCGTTCGCAACAGGAACGCCGATCAAAGCATCTACTCGCAAAGTACCATTGTAATATGACAACATGCTTGTAATTTGTGTTCCGATGTCCGGTCTGGTGGTGACCGTGCACTCGAAAAACGTCGCGCGGATCAGGGGACGGCTGCATTGAAGTCGGCCTTCCAAGCAAGTGAATCCATGATGCGACTGTGTCTAGGATCGGCCGCCGTCACCGAGGGTGGTCACCGGTGGGCGGGACGGACGGGCACTGGGAGATGGGACCGCCGACTAGGATGGAGCGACTCGGAGGTTTCTTTCTTAGTGGGGATCGTTGATCATGAGGATACCAATGGATACCACATATAATACCGGCACAACTGGAGGAGATCAACAGCGTACAAACTCACTCACTGGTCAACTGACTTGTTCTATAGATGAGCTGGATTGCTGCGAGGGTCCCGCAATCCAAAACACACCTGGGACCGTTCCTTTGCTGTTCGGACCATGGCAAATCCATGGCATCCCATGGCAAACCCCACGGTCTCTCGGGCGCTTTTCGGACATCCGCAAGACTGCGGTGATCGAGATAAAAGGTGAGGTAACTTTGGTGACTTTGAGAAGATGTTGTTTGAATGATCGAGTTCACACAATCATTAGCATGAGGGCTATTCCTTTAGGGAGCGGAGCTCAGACCGGTTGCGGGTTGCAAAAGTGTCACGAGGCGAACAACATGGTACCAACAACAATGGATACAACATGATATTGTTTATTTTTGTTTCACACAAGACAAACAACATGGATGGAATTGTAAGTAGTTTGACGACTTGAGTTGAGTTCAGGGTTTTGGAGATACGGATGTGTGCGTGTGTGTGTGTGTCTTAAAGACTTAGGCAAATCTTAAGTATTAAAGTAAAGCAACGTATTGACTTGACAATTCGGATATGTTCTGAAAGAAGATTCTCTATGCCCATCAAGATATTTGAGGCGGGGTGGTTGGGTGGAGCTGGGGGTGTTAGCCTGAGTTGGCAGCCCAAGAGCAGCTTTGAAGAGCCGATGCGCCAGTTGATGCGTGAGTTTCTCCGCTCGCAGGAGATGCGCAAACCTTCGAAAAGGAAGCCATTTCGGCTGTAGGCTGTGAAGGAGCCGTGTTTCGTTTCGAGTCTGAACATGGTGGATGACTTATGCGGATGAAAGACGCACTAAGAAAACAAAGAGCTCAGCTCAACACGACGGTTCACGTCAGGAGCGCCGAAGCAGCGGACCGACCCGACGCGCTCGTCGGGCGACGCCTTTGCGGTGCGCTGCCACCGGCGCGGCGCCGCCGCTCGGAATGGCCGGAGGGTTGACCAAAGTGACCCATCTTGGCTGGAGAGTGTTGATGAACTAGACCCGCTTTGCAATTGAATGCTGAATCTGAAAATGCCAGATCCCATGCTATGTGTTGGCATTTGGACGTCTCAGCAAAAAGACTTGTTGCTTGCCACCCCATTTTCAGGCTGTTCCTTTCATGGTACACCATCTATGTTTTTTTTTCGATCTACCGGGACCTCAGGATCTAACATGTGTGGTCCGAACTGTGCAGGTGTTTTTCCAACAAATGCACAAAGTAGACTAACAAAAATATGTTTGTGTTCCCCCGCAACAAACCAACAAAACCATTATATAGACTTCCTTAAGCTGCTATTAAGTCTAAGTTTTGGAAGGTGTCACTTTATGACCTGTGGGCGTTGTTTGTTTGCTGCTGTTGGTGTCGCTGTTGTCATTTTTCATCTTGATGGGGTTTGTGGAGCAGATTTGATGTAGGGAGGCCGCGGGGTGTCCTGCTCAAGACAAAAGAAAGGAATGCTTAGGGCCATTGGTCTGATTGGGGCATGGTTGGCGGCATTTGTTAGAGAAGATCCTAGTCCCAGGGAGTGTTTTTGCAACTGCACTTGTAGCATTGAGCATCGTTTGAGCAGTGCAGCCACCAGTTGGCAGTGGGAACTGACTAAAGGACTGATATTTGGTTTCATTGGTGCGTTGATCACGGTTGGCTGGAAAGTGGTTGTCCTGTTGATTCAAAAGCTGATCATGTGGGTGGGTTGCAGTGTGCAAGTCTGGGCAATTAGACAACAAGACAAAATACCGTCAACGGAGCCTGAATTGGACAGTGGGTTGACTGCAGAAGGGCAAGTGGCAGTAGAGGCGCGTGCTCGCGAGCAACTCGCGACTCTGAGGCATAGGCAGGCCCTGAGACAGAACCATGGCCCTCGCTGAGGGAACTAGGGTGTTTCTGCTGTACGACGTTGGTGGACCTGATCTTTTCCATGAAAGATATGTGTTAGCAAGCTGTCAGTGTGGCCGGGGTTGGCACATCGTTTTGACTCCGGATGATGATGTCTACCCTGAGCAGATTAGTCTAGAGAATGATGATTTGTCTTCATACAGGTTGGGCATAGGACCAAATCTTCCTCACGGCTTGACGGTAGCAAACACCTATCGGATCAGGAATCTCCCAGATCCCCAGAGGCTACAGCAGATGTTGGTGGCACGGCATGCTGCATCTGCCTTAGCATTCCCCCCAGGAGCCGGTCCTGGCTTGGCTGCCCCGCCAGTTGCAGCACCGGCGGTCGGGGCGATCCAAGCTGAGGCTGGCGATCAGGTGTGGGTGCGCATTGAGACAGATGGAGACAAACACCGAGGCGAAGTAGTCACCCTGACTGGAGGTGAAATCATCCACGGAAATGTTGGTTTGAAGATGGAAGGAACCACACATTTTGCAATTCGCCGAATGTTGCGGGCTGACGTTGAGGCATTCAAAGGAAAGGAAGCTTCTGCCGATGCGAGACTCCTTGGAATCAGCTTTCAAGGCATTGTGAGAGACGAGCGAACTTGGAGGGATGTCTCAAAGGAACTTTCAGAGGAGGAGTTCAAAGATTGGGGCGTTCCTGGTCCGAGAACATCTGCTTGGTGCACCAGGTTTTTGAATCGTCGCAATGGTGGCCCCAATGACCACCACGGGTGGTGGGTGAACAACCACAATTTGAAGCATGATTCCTGGGGAGTGAGCGAGCATGAACATCTCATGAAAGTGCTGGACAAACTTGGCCGTTTTGATGGGCTGGACCTCTCGAACCTTGCTGGCGCTGAACTTGCTTTCCGAAGGCTTCAGTTGATCGAGTACTATTACAGCGATCGTGGGCCAGGAAGTGGAAACAAGGGTGCTGGGAAAGGGGACAAGAAAAAGGAAGATGACCCTGTTTACAAAATGGAGTCTGCAATTTTTTCGGGTTCCCACAAGGAGTTTGGAGATGTTATGGTTTGTCCAACACTGATGGACTATGTATCCAAGGAAATTGAAACAGAGGCATCCATTATGAAGCAGGTGAGGAAGGCGCGTGAGGAGCGCGCCGCAGCCAGCAAGTAGCTGATCTGCTTCTGCCGCAAGGAGCAATGGACTCCTTGCACTATGAGCAAAACAACAGTGTTGGGGTGAGGCAGCGTGGAATTTTCCCATTACCCGTGCCACGGATTCCCACAGTGCCAAATTCTTCTGCGGTCAGTAGAACTGTGCGTAGGAGACTTTTTGAGGCTGGGCATGTTGACTCTTGGGTTCGTGACATCGTCATTGCTTTGAACGGCATGTACGCCGGCCGAACAGATGAGGGCAGTTTTGAGGCATGTGGGTCCATCACCTTGGCGCAGCAACTTTGCATTGACCGTGTGAAGTCTGCAGTTTTGAGTATGGGTAGGCCTCCTTCGGGTCTATCAGGTCGGGAAGCCTTAAGTGAGCTTCAGGCCAAGGCTGGCTATAGCGCTGAACCGGCGCAGCTAGCTCCTCTTCAGCTTGACATTTTGTCGTTGCCGCCGCCAGGGTCTGAACCAAGTCCAGTTGAGAAGATCCTAGGCAGCCGTGCTGAATTTTTTTTGAAGAGGTTGGAGTCAAAAGTGCTGCCAGATTTAGAGGCTAGTGCGAGGCTCCGTGCGTCAGATTTGAAAGCTCCATATAATGACCCCATTTTTCGTTCCAAGCCTAGGGCCTATGCTGATTTCTGTAGGAAGCTTTTTGAAGCTGGCTTAGTGGAGTTCAGAACGCCTTGCAAAGAAAGAGTAGGAGCCTTTTGTGTCGAAGCAGAGACTAGTGATAGACTCGCGACTGGCAAATCTGCACTTCGATCGACCTGAACATGTAGCGCTCGCTACTGGAAGTTCTTTTGCAAGGCTGGAAGTGGACAGTGGGCCGGCGGTAGAAGTGGGTGGTGTTGATATTGCCGACGCTTTTTACCATATTATGCTCCCCGAGAAGTTAAGGCCTTTCTTTGCTCTGAACCCCATTACTGCTAGAGAATTGGGTATCACGTGCACTGTTGAAGGGCTTGTCCATGGTGGTCAAAAAGTTTATCCAACTTTGCGGGTGGTTCCTATGGGCTGGTCACACGCACTGTGGGTATGCCAGAAGTTGCATGAGATGATGAGCGTAGAAGTGGAAGGGCTTAGAGTTGGGCTGCGTTTGGCAGATCGCCGTCCTGTTCCTGCCATCGGCAAACGGGGTAAGGACGAGTTTGTTCACCTGGAATACGTTGACAACTTTGTGGCTCTGTCCCAACGGCCAGGGCTGGTGGCGGATCTGGCACACCGCATGCAAAGCAAGCTCAATGAATGCGGGCTGCCCACGCATGAGGTGGAAGCGGGCTGCGGTCTTGAAACCCTTGGTTGGTCGTTCAACGCGGAAAAACCACAGGTTCAGGTCACCCACAAACGAGTTTGGAGGTTGAGGCTTGCCACAGAAGAGCTCCTGAAACGTGGCAAGTGCTCGGGGAAGACTCTTGAAAAGACGATCGGGCATTTCACTTTTGCAGGGTTGCTGAGACGAGGATATCTATCTGTATTTCAAGCCTCTTATGTTTTTATTCGGAAGCACTATGCAGAGACTGTAAGGGTGTGGCCGGAAGTCAGACGAGAACTTTTTTGGGCTTCATCGTTGCTTTGCATGCTTGGAAAAGATTTGTCAAGTGAGTGGAGTAACAAGGTCTATGCAACAGATGCGTCTATGGAGGGCAGAGGGGTTTGTGCAACTTATCGCGACATCGATCAGATCAGAGAAGTTGCAAAGTTTTCAGATAGGTGGAAGTTCTCTGAAGAAGGTGAGCGGTTCGTCCTGGAGTCGGGTGACGGCGCGTGCCCGCCACAGGTCGACGTGGAGTCTTTGCTGCCTACAGCGTCGATGGACGATGAGGTCGTGAGCTCAACAGTTCCTGAAGTGCCGCTTGAGTTTATTGGGGAAGACTGGGTAAAGATTGAATCTGGGTTTTGGTCTCGCTCTGAATCCATCCCGGTTTTGGAGGGTAGGTCAGTTGTCTGGGCATTACAGCATCTGGGTCGGTCTTCAAAGAACCATGGCAAAAGGCACTTGGTGTTAATAGGGTCTGCAGACAAATTGCTGCTTTGGAGTTTGCCACTGGGATGAGCTTGTACACCCGGTGGATACCTTCAGAAATGAACCCTGCAGACCTTCCGTCTCGAGCAGTGGATGTTTCCCATTTCGACCTGCAATGTTCTCTTGAAAAGTTTGCTGAGCACCATGCTGAAGCGAAAAGCTTTGGGCAGCTGCGCTCCTGGAGACACAAGGCTTGTGAATACTACTGGAGAGAAGGCAGCCTGGGCCCGCGCGCAGCATGGAGTGTCAGCTAGAACCGCTGGAAAGCAGTCGCAAGAGGCAAAGAGCGGCCAGCCGGCGCCAACTTCATGGAGAGGAAATGACAGGGCTCTGGGAAGACAAGACCTTCTTGGAGAGGAAGTCTGTCACAACTGCAAGGGACAAATCATACGCCCGAGCCATGAGCCTTTTCAACGAGTTTGTCTTGACAGAGAAGATAAATGTGGGCACAGTGGAGCAAATAGATGTAGCAGCCACAAGGCTTCTCAACCACATGTTCTGGGACGGGGAAGACCTGTCAGCAGGACAGACGTTAGGTGCCGCCCTGGTGTTCTGCCGCCGCGACATCAACAAGGTGAATGGGCTACCCAGACTGAACACAGCTCTGAAAGGGTTTCGAAAATTGGAACCCCCTCAAGGACGAGTTCCAATGCCCTTCGCCATGTTGTGTCGGGTTTGCCAGGTTCTCCATCAACAGGGCCAAGACCAAGTGCTACTGTGGTTGATGACCATCTGGGGGGGATGCACCAGACCTGGCGAGAGCCTAAGGCTACAAGCCAATCAGGTAGTGAAAACATCTCGGATGTGCAAGAACTACATCCTAATTAATCATCAACTCAGGTCAAGAGGGAGGCGTCAGAATGACTTCGAAGGTAGGAGAAATGGACGAGGCGGTCGAGATCGATCAGCCTTACCTTCAATGGCTTGGTCCCGCTCTGAACCGGCTGAAAAGCACATGCAGTCCTCAAGAAAGGGTTTTCAGTTTCACCAGGGAGGAAGGAGTTGCTCACTTCGATCGGGTGGTTCACCAGCTGAATTACCACAAGGTGGGGATTCAATGCGTTTATCAGCTTCGACATGGGTCAGCCAGCGCAGACGCTCTGGAGAAGTTCCGCACCCTCGACCAGATTCAAAAACGGGGCAGGTGGCACTGCGCCAAGAGCGTCAGAAGGTATGCCAATGGAGGCAGAATCTCCCAGGTCTTCCAAGAGCTCAGCCAGGAAGAGCAAAGACAAGCCAGCGCGGCAGAATCCGAGATTGTCAAGATTATCGGACCTGCTTTGGGGAGAACAGCTTGCAAGAGATAGGTTTGGAGATTTTTTCGGGTTGCGGGCGACTTGCAAGGACCATGCGAAAAAGGTTGAAAGCAGTGCAATGCATTGAGATCGACAATATTCATGGCCCTCCGTTTGATTTGACAAGTCGGAAAGTGCAACGTGATATTTTCAAACTCTTGCAGTCTGGACATTGTTTATGTCTGGTTGAGAACTCCTTGCAATTCATGGTCACGCTCTAGGCGGGGTCCCGGTTCCCTTCGAGATGATCATGACAACATTTATGGTTTTCCCTGGCTTAAGAAGGCTGATATGCAGCAAATACACGTGGGCAACTCTCTGATGCGTTTTTCGGCAAGAGTTTTTCGATATTGCTTGGCTCATGGTATTCCTGTTACGTTGGAGACTCCTCACACTTCACGGTTGTGGCTGGCTCCCCCTATTCGATATCTGGTCTCCCATAAGAACACTGAGTATGTCACTACAGACTTTTGTCAAGATAATATGCCTTGGAGACAGCGGACTGGCTTCCTCTCTGCCAATATCTCGCTCCGACGATGCACAGGACCTCGGGGGGTTTGCTCCAGGACCCGGGTGTCCCACGAGCGGCCAGCGGACGCGAGGGGGGGAAAGCTTAGAACCTTGCTTGCTCACCCTTGGCTGTTATGTAGTCGTCTCGCCTCTGCCTTTGCTTACACCATTCACCACACCAAAAGCCAAGCACTGTGGAAATATTTTGTGTAGGCCGGACGTCCAGATACGCTTTTGGGGATCCAGAAAGATTTTGGACAATTGGCTGAATGGCCATACATCCTTTTCGAGCGGCCTGAGCCTTTTGTAAAGACAGTACCTGGCCCTGGAAGCAAAAGGCGCGGAACATTTTTCATCTTGATGGGGTTTGTGGATGTAGGGAGGCCGCGGGGTGTCCTGCTCAAGACACCCTGCCCGCCACACCCTCTTGAGCAGAATTGGACAATTGGCTGAATGGCCATACATCCTTTTCGAGCGGCCTGAGCCTTTTGTAAAGACAGTACCTGGCCCTGGAAGCAAAAGGCGCGGAACATTGTTGTGATTGTGGAGGTTGTTGTTGCTGTTGCTGTTGCTGCTTGTGCTGCTTGTGGCTCCTCCTCCTCCTGGTGGTGGTGGTAGTAGTGGTGGTGGTGGTGTTCTTTTTGTTTTGGTTCATGTTATTGTTATTGTTCCTCTTCTTGTTTTTTCTATTTTTGTTTCTCGTAGTTTTCTTTGTTTGTTTAAGTATGTTTGTTATTGTTGTTGTTGTTGTTGATGTTGTTGTTGTTGATGATGTTGATGTTGAATTTTGCAGTAGTAGTCCTTTGGAGCAGTAGGAGTAGGAGTAGTGGGCGCACTAGGAATAGTAGGAGTAATAGTTGGTGTGGTTCTGGTTGTGGTTGTTGTCGGTTGTCGTCGTCTTCATCGCCATCACCCGTTTGCTTATCCAAGGAGATTGTACGCCCAAGCGGAGGCGCAGACTTGCAGTTTGGTGTAGAAGATTTAAGGACTTGGACAGAGATGGTTGGAAATTCTTAGTGCAGACTGCATTTGAAGACAAGCACTCAACACCATGGGCGAATGGCCAACAAGAGCCCAATTAGAACCTTGGATGTGTTGACTGACGACTGACGCAACGACCGAAGCGACCCAAGCGGTTTGTAGGTGCAGAGACGCAAGCAACTTCGATGGTAGCCAAGCTGCTGGATATGCAGCAGGATGAACAGGACAGGTGATTTAAATAGTTTGTTTGGCATCTGTTTGCGCCAAACAAGCAATTTGGCCATTGTCAGAATGTCTTCACATGAGATATCCATTACACATGAGTAGCAGACAACCCTTCTCATAGCAAATCACTAGTACCTAAGGGTTGTTTTTTTTCCCCATCCTATTCCGGCGATGGTGATTGTTTTGTCCACCATTGTGCTTGACTAACGAAAACACTTGTTTATACCATGTTTTTTTTTACGATGCCAATCCCTTTTTCCTGGGCCGAACACCCAGGAGCTGGACCTGGTCCTTTCTGTGCCGGGCCTCACCCGTTCCACAGCACTGAAGGCGTTCGCGTTCGCTGAGCACCGAGACTGGTCGATCGTTGGCGCGTTGCCGAACGCCCTCATGTTCATGAATTCATGCGCTGTTTGTTTGGGGAACACAAAAGCAGTGAGATGTTTGAGGTTCTTTCACTCAGACCAAGACCTTATGTTTTTGTTTTTTTCCGCTTCAGCCCATGAGTGTCCACGAGTATATATGTTCGAAACCGACCAACTACAGTCTTACTTTGATCGAAGGAACTCACGGATTCAAGCTGCATTAGTCAGGTGCCATCAACTTTTGCAACATTGACAGGATATAGTGGTCGCATGTGGTCCCCAAATAGATAGAAAAGATTAGAAAAGTATAGATCCCCACTCAAATCCGCAAAACGGTTTTGGAAACCGTTTCGGTTTATTTGGGGAACACTCGTGGGAAAACGAAAAAGGGCCTTCCAAGGCCTTCCTGCAGGTCTCCTTGGTGCCTCGCCACCTGACGGTCACAGCGGTGGAACTTGGAACCCTAGTGGATGCAGAACTGCCGTGCCCTCGATCCGACCGACGGAACAGAGCTGGCAAGTATCAAAGCAAAGGGGGCTAAAACGCTTGGTTATTATATAACCTACTAAGGTGTGTGTCAGAACGGACTGAACAGGTTTGAGAGGGATCAAGCGTTCAGTCCACTGTTCACGAACAAGCACTGGCCATGGCTTTGCCTTGGAAATCTTGGACACCCAAAGATGACCCAAACCGACAGGCGAGAGACTGCAAGTCTGATCTTCTTTCCGGGTGGCTCGGAGTGGCACACTGTTGACCTGAGGTTCGATGAGATCGACCCTGACACATATGAGATGAGCGTGCGGGAGATGGGGAGAGTGAAGAAGCAGACAAAAACGCTAGAGTTGGACCAAAGTGTTTGACAATGTTTGACACGTGTTAAACAATGATCCTTTTTAATTTGAAGCCGAGCTGGGTTTGCTTTTTCATCATATTCCCCTCCGCCTGGAGTGCACATGTTGCGGAATCCCAGGGTGAACATTATACAGCCTGAATTCTGTGGAATTCTCATTGGCAGTATCCGACCATTTGGCCACCAATAGACTGAAGTGAAAGGCCAACAGAACCTGTACAGCAAATAAACATCACAACAAACCTCTAGCTGGAGGCGAAATGGGATAATACCAAACGTACATTTTTTGGTTCTTTTCGATTCATTCTTCGTGGTGTCTCTGACTTCTTTGGCTTTGGGGCCGCTATTCCGAGGATCAGCAGATTTCCTGTGGCAGGCATCAACATTTGCCCTTACGGAAACGCCTCAAATACATGGCGACTCCGTTTTTGTTGCGCGTTCTTCTTCGTGTTTCAACCCCTTTACCAGTGGTTTGAAACTATTTGAGACATTTTGAGACCATAGTCTGTTCTTCTTCACTGAACTGTACTATGAACTTCCCCATGTTCATCCGCCCTCTCTCGCCTTTTCCGACCACGGCATCCACCCTGTTCAAGTCCGAATCCGCAGGACGGACTTTTAGAGCTGAGCCTGTCCAAACCGCCTGGCCGCGGCTGCGCCTGGCCGCGGCTTTTCTTGGATCCATTCCAGTGAGGTGGCCGGTGGCGCGGTGCTTTTTTCGGGAAGACATACTTCGGGGTCAGGGTGAGACCCGAAAAAAGAACGAGGGCTTTGGGATTTCTTACAGCAACAGTGGGTTTGATTTGTGAAATTGCTGAACATGCATCCCTCCAGTCTTCAGCAGGTTTTGTTTCTGCTGCATTCCAGCTCAGGGGTCTGACTTTGCATTGCATGTCTCTTTCTTTCCACAGAACACCTTGTTGCACACGATCAAACCTTGATGCATCGATCTGGACCCCGACAGAGCATCAGATTCTTCGGCCGCATCATGACATGATGCAGTGGAACTGGTATTTTGGGGACACTCGTCCATCCTGATCCACCATGCCCAACCAGGTCGAGTCCCCTTAGGTTACTGAACACTACTTGGACGATCCTTTTACAGTCCTTTAGCCGCAAGGGTTGTTTCCAGTGACAAGAACATTTGATAACATGTGCATATCTTCTTGGGCTCAATGGATTTTAGAGGATGTTCTGATCCTTTTGCAGCTGTCCAGGCCTGTCCAGGAGTCCTTGGTGCTTCTTCCTCCGCTTGATTCCACGCCCAGGCGCGCGCTCACTGCGAGGTCCAAGAGGTGGAGACTGGGTGACTGACTTGCGTATCACAACATATCACAAGCAAGGAAAAGACCTGGAGGCCATCGCTAGTAGGTTGGAGGCCATCGCTAGGGACCACTTCAAGACCTGTCTTCATTTCGTGCGCCAGCTTCGTACCTTGAGAGACCGGTCAGACTTGAGAGACCGGTGTTTGAATCAACTCAATGTGTTTGTTGCAGCCAGGCTGGACAGCAGCCAGGTTCGACCTTGAATCCACCGGAAGTTGAGCAGCCCGAGCGTTCCACCCGAAGATCATGTCGCTGCCCGGCGCTGCCGGGAAGGTTCCGTGTCGTTTGGAGGCACGGGCAGACAGAAGAAGGATTCCGCCACCAAATACCATAGCAAGAAGAAGCACAGTCTTTCAGGGGTTCATGTATGTCCATGTTCTTGGTTCATCAGGTAGAAGGTATCCTGCAGGACTCCAAATGCCTTTAAATGCACTTGGATGAAGCCATTTGGCTTTGGGCATGCTGCCAGCACTCGCCTGTTCCAGTTTCACCTGCCACCGAGGGGTGGTGCGTGCTGATGTTTTGTGTGCCGGTTCCTGTGTGGAAGAGATCTGTTGCCACTCCACAACCCCGCTCTGCAAATGTTCGGCACCCGAGCCTGTCCTGGGCACCTTCTGTGACACCGGATCTGGGCAGACCTGTTTGAGCACGGAGAACCGATCATGGGAGTGCTTCCAAGAGGGCACCTTTTGTGTGCACGCGCCCACAGTGTGCTTTACCCGAGCGGAGAGGAACCAGCCATGCAATGCAGTGGTGGAAGAGGAAGAGTGCAACCGCCAATTGGCTTGTGTATATTTACCACCCCGCCTCTCCCATTCATGGCAATGCGATGCTGCACCAGGATTGAAGTCCTCGTTAGTTCCAGAATTAACTATATATGTTGATGCGAGTTGCAAGTGTGTTCCTACTATTACTAGGCTGGGGCACCCAGTTCTAATAGTATTGACATTGATGGTGGATGTGTAATGTGAGTGACAAGCCTGCTGTTCAGAAGTGAACTGGGTTGGAGAAGGTTGGAGAACATAAACATAATGAAATACACCAAACATATAGTTTGGCCACCAATCCCGTCGTCCATCGTTGCAGGACAGAGGCCTGTGGTCCAAGCTGATTGTTCCACCAGGAGCACGAAGCAAGAGTGCGAAGCACAATGGGACTCCTGAAATGGTTCTTGGGATGTTTTGTGCATTGAAATCTTGGGCATCCCCAATCCTCGAGAATCTCTTTAATTACTTGTTGGTGCTGGGTCCGGGTTTGTTTTGCTTCTGAATGTGAGTGGAGCAAAGATTGGCCACGGCCAAAAATGCATATTTCTTTCTTCAGGGCCCGGAATGTGAGCCGAGGAATGTCAGTGGCAACTGGTGGAGACCAATCAAACGGACCAAAAGCCCTGCAAGAATTGGGGCCTCTATACAGGCATTGTCTTGCTGGGCAGTTGTCTTGGGTATGGGAGGCAAGAGGCAATGTCATGTATCATTCTGTGAATATGTGGGCTTGAACTCCTCAAACTCCTTCGAGGTCACCGGCCTTCCCTGCTTTGAAAGCATTTTGATTTGTTTTGTGGACATGCTCAACAAAACAATACAAAACATATTCTGAGAGCTTGGGGTCCTTGTAACAACACAGTTCTTGAGGTGTAGTTAGTGTAGTTTGAGCAGCGTTTCTGCTTGCGCTGATGCAGGCTGTGTTGGCCGCTATGAACTCTTTGATGAAAGATGCGAAGGACACGAACTTCAAGTGCATCAAATGTGTTGAACATATCGTTTCCAAATTGAGAGATGTGTTGAACATATTGTGTTCACATTTCAATTTAGAGAGTGTTCTTCAGACCTATCACCCTTTCAGTTAAATAAACTAAAGTTCAATACACCTTCAAAGACCCTATAGTCAGCCCGGTGAGGACATGATCGGAGGGCGTGTTTGCAAGATGCTCAAGTTTGTGAGTACAAAGATACTTGCGACTGCCTTCCTGGATTTTGGGGTGAGAGGCAGGGGAGGTGGTTGGGAGGTCTGCGGTGCCTGTCGTCGGACTGCGTCCAGTCGTCGGACTGCGTCCAGTCGTCGGTCATCCAGTTTTTCAGGGTCGGTTTCGTGGTCCACAGACCTGAATGCTTTTTTCACAGGAGGACATGGAGGACGCTACGAACGGGGCTCCTGGCATCGCTACTAGGAACAAGAAGCTACGAACGCGCTCCTGGCCTTACTATTAGGAGCAAGGAAGCTACTAGGAACAAGAAGCTATTAGGGGCTCCTGGCATCGCTACTAGGAACAAGAAGCTACGAACGCGCTCCTGGCCTTACTATTAGGAGCAAGGAAGCTACTAGGAACAAGAAGCTATTAGGGGCTCCTGGCATCGCTACTAGTAACAAGGACGCTTCTAGCGGCTCCTGGCCTTATATACTAGGATCAAGGAGGCTACGAATGGGTGGAAGTTGGTCTCAGGTCTCGGAAGTCAGTGAATCAAGGGTCGTCGAAAATCACCCGGCCACGAGGAGGTCCCAAAGATAATACCTTCCCTCTCCTCTAAACCACCTGTTCGGTAGCGTTTGAGGTGTCCAAGATGTGGCCATGTGTCAAATCCCAACGAATCCCACTATTCCACCGCACCACATTCGTCGAGGTGTGAGAAGGAGATTGCCCAGTTTCAGAGCAACTTCACTGAGTCCTGCAATGGAGTGAACGCTCCCACTTGCAGGGGCTTAGTGTGCCTAGACAAAACAAAATATTGTGGTTTTGTTGTGTATTTATTGGGGTACTGTGGTTTACGGTTTATGGTTGAGAGGGGAACTCACTGGCTTTTTGAAAGGTCTACAAAACAAGACTGGAATACTCGTTGTTGATGGATGTTCAACTTCTTTTGACTGTCTCAGATGTCTCACAAAAATACCGCTGCAGTGTTGGCTATGTTTTGACTCAAACTTTTTTCTGGGGTATCGCTGGGTGACGTGCTTCCCTTTATTGCGACACGAATTGCTGCGATGCACGCCATAAGGTACATGGCTGCTGCGGATATCGACCATTGCTCAGAGAATGCTACGTGCCATGAGTGGGAAGACATCAAAGATGTGGTTGGGGCCCTCTTGGCAGCGGAGCTAGCAACTATGATTGTGGACATTCTGGGCTTTTGCTTACAGGCCTGGCATGGGGTCTATGGAGTCTATGGTCTAACAGTAGGGTAGCAGTTTTTGATGACTTGGTCGATCTGGCCTCCCTCCTCGATGGTGGGCCTTCTCAGCCCTGTCCGGGCCTTGCCCAGGCGCCATGGGCCCTTCTTCTCCACCTTGTCGGGGCCTGTCCAGATCTCCTATCACCGCTGTGTCCAGACGTTGTCCCCTGCTTGGCCGCGGCTTTCCCTTTCTCCATCTTTCTCCACATCCATGTTTGTTTTTCGCTGTCTACTGTATGAATGCAACAGTGACAGTGACAGTGATGCAGCATTTCTCTTTTGATATCATCCTGCTCCCCAAAAAGCTTTTGTTTACATGCTGTTCTCAAACAGCTGGAGGCTATTGTAGGCAAACAATTGCAAACGTGTCCACCAACATTAAAAAAATCAAGGAGCTGATGCAAAACAATCCTGCTGAAACTTTTTGGGGTCCATGATATCATTTCCGTGTGTCTTTTCTGTGGCAAAAGAACACAATGATTGCTAGTTCCTCGCTGCCCCGAGCCCTTGCGCAGGTGTTGCTGTTGTGCTGGTTTTGCTGGCTTTCGGCCCACATCAGAGAGTTGAAAAAGAGATCGGAAGAGCTGCAGACATCGCTGGACGATTGTGAGCAGAAATCGCTGGTCGATCATGAGCTGAACTCGCTGGTGGAACGGAACAAAGAAAAGAGGCGGATTGCGGTTTGTTCCTTCGTCCTTTTGTTTCTGGAAGATGTTGTTTTGGTCGCTTGTCTGCCAGAGAGGATCACACAAGTTGTTTGATGTGCCACTGATGTGACCATGTTCATCCATATTCCTTCTTTAAGTTTTTCTTTTTTTGGGCGGAGGCCGCTAGAGGTTGCTAGTAGCTCAATTAAGTAAGCTTCTAGGTACAGGACGCTACTACCTTAGGCGCAGGATAGCTTACGCTTCTTCAAGGAAGCTCCCCCCCGCCGCCCTAAACGAGGGAGCTTCCTTGAAGAAGCGCTCGCACGATTCATTTGGTTCCTAGATGTTTAGGAAAATCAACTAATTATACAGTTGGCATTTGAATGGACTGCTAATGGGAGTGGTTTGGAATTGCTACACAAGATTCTCACTTTGCTGCTCCGCACGCATCATGCACGGAGTGTTCCAGTCCAGGGGGGATTTGGATGAGGAATTCCTGGAGCCAATCACAAGTGGAGGGTGAGGTTTGACGGTGGTTCTTCTTTATGCGTGTTGTTCCGGTTCTAGCGCATGTTTTGTAGTTTTCGCAGGTGCGCAAGAACCGCACCAGAGATTGACACACAGCCAGGGAAGTGTTGTTATGGTGATGCAGCAAGTGAGAATAAACGCTTTAAAAGATACCTGAACCTGGTGAATAACATTGAATAACCATATATATAATACACTCTAAGGTTGAAAAGAGTCAAGGAGAGTAACAACAGAGTCAATATGTTACAACTTTGTATAGATATAAATATATAAAGCAAACTCTAAAAAGGACTAAGACAGTGTATATATATAAGCATATAGTACAGGATAGAAATGGTACACCGTCAGTTCCAACACCGCTGCTCAATTTTCCTATGAGAGGAGTGGCATGGTAAGAAAAATCATAACATAAAGGCATAAGAACCATTTGCAGGTTCCTTTCTGCCCACCTTTCCATCAGTTGAGTTGGGTTGCACTGTTCCCACAGCGTTCCCAGGAAATCATTGTTGTGAGCAAAGTGGTGAATGCCTCATATGTTTTCGACAACGTCAAGGCCGCACATTGCTTTCCCCAGGGAGCTGCCTACGATACCATCAAAGACTTAACCGAGACCACACAGCGTATTAGAGAATATGCAATAGTAAATATTGTCTTTGCTTGCATTGGCGGTTTTGGAGAACTCCTTCAAATTTGTATGGAAGTGGAGATACTTGGCGATATGTGCACAGGTCTCTTCGATGAGTTTGGTTTTGGATTGTCTCAGTGAAGCTTCAGTTGAAAGGTTTTTGCTTTCCCGTGTTCCAAGTCCCTGCCCGCTCTCTACCGAAGTTTCTTCCTCCAAGTCCCTGTGAGTGGGTAATACTTTCCGGTCAATACATGTTAGTGCAACGAAATCTCCGCCCTTTGTTAGTAGCTTCTTGTTACTACTAGAATGGCCAGGAGCTACTAGTAGCTTTTTGCTCCTAGTAGTGATGCCAGGAGCTACTAGTAGCTATGTTTGTTTTCGACAAATACTTGAGAACTGTTGAACTCTCGCTGGCCATCCAGTGCCTTGTTGGCGGTTTAATGAAGGGCTGTTGTCTTTGTAGCACTTGGCAATCACATCCTGATGTTTGTTTTGCAGCACTGTTCTAGAGAAAAACTGTTCAGTCCGCGTGTGTCTTTTGGAGTCGACATGACCGCTACTTGCTGAGGATTGGTGAGGCACCTTGACTCCGTTCTGGCAAATTGGAGTCGAGAGTTCTGCGCTGTGAGTATTTGTTAGTCCCGATGTCGGTGTGTGAAGTCGACCCATAAGGGAGAGGGAAAGAAGTTGTATCAGTTGTATGACTGTATGAAGTAGTGGGTGAAACCTGCAAATGTGAAGATCCCATATATTCCCACTATATCGAGATTTGTTGGACCAGCAGAGTTGCACCTTCATGCATGCGTACCTTCCCAGGATGATCTGAGGACAACGAGCAAGATGCGTTGGTTCCTGTGCGGGTGGGCCTTGTCCATGCTAGGTGCCCTGGATTTGGTGGATGAACATGGTACTCCCCCAGCAGCACCGCCCATGTCAACATGTCAGACCTTGTGGGTATCGAACGCTCCAGAACAGAAGGGCCAGGAGAGTTCCACGTGCGTTTTTGCATTGTTTTTCCTGCGTTGGTGTTCTTCAATGTTCTTCATTGCCCTTGATTTCGTGGTGCAAAGTAGTTCGGTGAAAGGCTGCATCGAAGGTTTTGTTTGGACCAAAGTAATGAGTGTATCATTCCCTGATATGGTAGCTGGGGTTTTGAGCCTGAAAGTGAAAGTAAGTTGTACTCGTATGTTTGAACATGAGGTTCGTTTGAGGTCCCTAGCGGTCCATGAGGTCATGAGATATCAAGTCATTTCTAGGGATCTCCAAATAGACGCTCAAAGCGAGTGGGCCACATGGTCATATATTAGTTGTGTGCACATCTCATAAGATGCTGGTGCATTGTTGCAAAACAGGCAACTTGCAGTGCTTCTGCCGCCCCTGGATGTCATATTGCTGTGTCTTGCTGGATGTTTTGCTGTGCTATTGACCATATTGACCATTCCGGCGACTTGGCGGAGTCAGCCAGCCAGCCACCAAAGCATCCGAGCCAACCAGCCACGTATCACAAACATTTGGCAGCTGGTTGAATCAGCCACCGGTGGAAAACACTTTGGCCACAAACTCCAGGATCTACAAAATCGTGCCTTTTGCCTTTTGCCGATCGGAGGTAACATTGTGGAGCTCATTTTTAGCATCGTGAACTTTGCTGATCAGACCCAGAAATTGGTTATCGACCTGAACAGCCTTGAGCAAAAGATTGTTGGAGAGGTTCCTTTGGAGGAGACCGATCGAGTGTGCTTCCTTCGGCACCCTGAACTGCCTCAGGCGGGAGAGTCGGGGGTCGGCCCTAAAGGGCCACTGCAATATGCAATGATCATGTGGTGCTTTCCAAATGACAATCTCCCTTTTCTTGGTTGATGTACATGAAATCAACATTGTTTTTTGCATGTGTTTGCTAACAGAGCCCTTGTGAGCCTGCTTGGTCACTGACGCCCCGCGTGAGCTCGCCGGCCACCTTTGCAGGTCAGCGCCGTTGAGGTTGCAAGCCAACTTGAGTTCATTTTCGTACCTCTTGTGGTCGCCTTTGGACTGGTGCTGCTGGCAATTCCGCTCTGGTACAACATCCCGTGGAGGGTAGCAAGCAAATTGTGGATTTGCATTAAAGATGCTTGGAACCAGGCATGTTGAGACAAGTACGTTGTCTTAATCAGTGAAGAGACATGATGTAATGACTGAACCTGGATGTGTTATGCCAAGGGCCAAGGGCAGTTTGAGTTTGTGTTTGTTTTTGGTGTGAACAACCATGAATTTAATTGATTTTCTCTGTTGTGGACTCGCAGTGGTGCACCTGTGAGATCAGGAGGGGACTA